ATGCCAGAGGATTTGGGACACAGGCCCTGTTGGTGGGAAGAGGAGAGGGTGCTCCTGCTGAGTCAAGGATGAGTGACCACATTACCACAGCCCCCAGCTGCTGTAGGGTCTCCTTTGGTATGGGAGGCTGGGGCTGAGAGGGGCTCTCCCAGAGAAGAGACATGATCTGAACTCTGGCTGGTGCAGAGGCATAGAGGATCCACTTCTACCTGCATTTCCCCAAAGAGCCAGCAGGAGGCAGCCTTGAGAAGCTGTAGTTCTGTCTCTGGCTGTTCTCTGCTGGCCATTGCCTTCTCCCTGACCCACAAGTCTAACCCACGAGAGCTTGCCTGTGTCCTGCCTCTTGCCTCCTGTAGAATTCAGCTCCAGCTCTCAATAAATGCTTCCTGCATCCTTCTGCCTCCTGTGTCATTTTCAGCTGCATCTGAAGTCCTTTCTTTCTCCACAACCGTGCAAGAATACATGGGGGCTCTGGGTGGGTGGGAATATTTACAACACATGGGTTGGGAGCTTGGGAAGGTGAGATGGGAAACAACAGAAAAACTTGGGGCCATAGGAGAAGCTATAGGTTCAAGTCCTGGTACTGGATGGCTAGTGGCGTCCCTGGGTAAGTCCCCTCCTCCAGGTCTCAGCTTCCCTATTTGCATAATGAGGGAGTTGGGGTAAGTGGTAATCTCAGGGTGGTATTGCCCAGGCTCTGGCCACAGGGCCTGGTCACTGGTGGAGGGGCGGCTGAGCTAGATCTGGGCCCAGTGCTCTTGGGCTGCTTCCTCAGGGCAGGCTGGAGCTCCAGGGCAGCAAGAGGAGCCATGATGAAAGGTCACATTGAGCCAAGGCAACACTCGTGAGGTCAGGACCCAGACCACCAGGAGCCCTCCTCTCCTGGTGGGGGCGTCACGTGCCTAGAAAACGTATTGGGGTCCCACTCCCAGATGAGGCCAGGCCTGCCCTGCTTACATCCCTCACCCTTCCTCTCTGGAAGACCAGGCCCAGCAGCGACTGGGCAGAGGAACCTGAGGGGCAGGGGGCTGAGGGGCAGTCCACAGCAGCAGAGTTCAGGCTTCTGCCTAGAGAGGGTCTCAGAGACACACCTACACGCAGATACCGACATGTCTCACCCTAGGTCCAGCGCACCGTTGCTGATTTCACCCTTCCCTGGGAGCTGTAGAGGCCTGGTGGCTTTGTGGTTAAGAGCTCGGCTGCTAATCAAGAGATTGGCAGTTCAAACTCACGAGCTTCTCCTTGGAAACCCTGTGGGGCAGTTCTACTTTGTCCTATAGGGTCACTATGAGTGGGAATCAACTTGATGACTGTAAGGTTTTTTTTTTTTTTTGGTTTTCTGAGAGCTGTGGTTGGTGTACCTCTGACTCAATGTTTATCTTTACCCAGAACCTCTCCCGAGTGCAGCATCCTTCGCCCTACTGGTCATCCCATCCCAGTGCCCAGACACCTCAAACCAAGTCCATGCAAAACTGAACTCAGTAGCTTCCCAAACCCCAACCTGCTTCTCCCCTTGTTACCTACCTTAATCACCCAAGCCAGAAACCTGGGAATCATCATTGACTCCTTCCTTCCTTCACCTCCCACATCCAATCTCTCACCAATACTTAGTAAGTCTCCAAATACCCCACAAATCCCTGTTTTCCTCTTCATCCCCTCTGTCACTGTCCTAGTCCAGCCACCATCTCTCATCTGTTGTTGTTAGGTGCCACTGGGTTGATTCCAACTCATAGAGACCCCATGTGACAGAGTAGAACTGTCCCATAGGGTTTCCTAGGCTGTAATCTTTACAGGAGTAGATCACCAGGTCTTTCTTCTATGGAGCCACTGGGTGGGTTTGAACCACCACCAGGGCTCCTATCTCTCACCTGGCTACCGTGAAATCCTCCTTACAGTCTCCCTGCCTCCAGTCTTGCCCCTCTGATTGTTTTACAATGGCACTCAGAGATATCCTTGAATGATGCCAATCTGAACATTCCACTCCACTGCTTTAAACTCTTCAATAGCCCCTCATTGAAAAGCCTGCTGTCTTAGTGCTGCTATAACGGAAATACAAGCGGATGGCTTTAACAAAGAGAAATGTATTCTCTCACAGTCCAGTAGGCTACAAGTCCAAATTCAGGGTGTCAGTTCCAGGGGAAGGCTTTCTCTTTTCTGTTGGCTCTGGAGGAAGGTCCTTGTCATCAGTCTTCTCTTGGTCTGGGAGCTTCTCTGTGCAGGAACCTCAGGTCCAAAGGACGCGCTCTGCTTCTGGCACTGCTTTTTTGGTGGTATGAGGTTCCCATGTGTCTCTGCTCGCTTCTCTCTTTTATATCTCAAAAGAGATGGTCTTAAGACACTATCCAGTCTTGTATACCTCATCAGTATAACTGCAACTAATCCATCTTATTAGATCATGGTGATTGAATTTACAACACATAAGGAAATGACATCAGATTACAAAATGGTACACAATTATACAATGCTGGGAATCATGACCCAGCCAAGTTAACAGATATTTTTGGGGGACACAGTTCAATCCATGACACCTACTGTGATCTGGCCCCTGCCCATCTGTCTGGCCTCATCTCTAACCACTGTCCCCCAAACCGTAGCTCCAGCTCTATGGATCTACTTGTGGATCCCATAATCTCTTTAGACATGATATGCCCTTTCCTGCCAAGCCTTTGCCCCTCTTATGCCCAGTGAGCTCCCACTCATCCCTCAAGGGCCAACTCAGATGTTTCTTCCTCTGGGAAGCCTTCCCCACCCCCTCTACACGCAGGCTGAACTGAGCTGGTGACACCCTCCCCTGGGCTCAACCAGAGCATTTCCCATCATGCATCTCAAAGGCTTGTTTACAGGTCTGACTCCTGCCTGGCTGAGCTCCTTGAGGACAGGGCTCTGTCTTATTTATATTTGATCCACTGAGAGAGGCTCAGAGAATGTGAGAAGGTGGAGGGGAAGGAGGGAAAGAGAGAGAAAAGAAGGGAGGGGAAAAAAATGCAGGAAAGAAGGAAAGAATAAGTAAAGATACTGGAGACAATTCATTTATTCATTCAACAAATATCTATTGAGTTTGAACCAGGCACTGTTCTAGGCACTGAGGATACAACAGAAGCAAGCTGAAGTGAGTGGTAACTGACTCTTACTACTTCCAGGTGACTTTGGGGCGTGCATGCAAGTGTGTGTGTGCATACATGTATGCATGTGTGTGTGTGTGTGTGTGTGTGAGAACACATGTAAGAAAGCCCTTCCATCTGCAAGGGCCTATTGCCGGGGCACCTGTCTTCCCTAGGGCCTAGTGCTTTTAGCATCTGGCCCCAGCTCCTGTTGCAGCCCGAAATAAGGCTGTGACCCATCGCAGGGCAGGGACGAGTCTCATCAGCTGAGGCCAGAGCCGGCTGCAGGGCACACACTGCTCGATGACCACCGACTGCCGACACAGACCCCGACCTTGAGGGCCTAACACTCCTGTCTGCCTGCTGTGGCCCCATCCTCTCAGGTACCAGGATCCCAGGGGAGCTGTGGGGAGTGGACAGGGGAGCCGAGCCAATTCCCAGGGCCCCTTCCCCACAGACAGAGGAAGGGCCCTGCAGAGGGTCGGCAGAGTACGGACATCACAGAAGCCTGGACCCTGGGTTAGGAGGAGAGGGACTCGAAGCTCTAGGTTACTCTTGGTTAAATGGGGAGGGGGTGCCTAGGATTAGAGGTGGGGGTAGGTAATGGCTCTGCTCAGGACTGCAGCATGTTTAGGCAATAGAGGGAAGTAGCTTCCCTGTCTGTACAGCGAGGGGCCCTTCCCAGTGTCTGTGAGTCTCTGCAGGGGGTGTATCTATCAACAACATATCCACGCGCCGTGGGCCCCTCAGTGGTCACAGGTAGGGCACTCCCAGCCGCCTCATGACTCTCACCTCAAATGTACGCAGGCACACTCATGTTTGCATACGGTTTAGGGGTTCATAGATTCCCTGAAACCCACCCATGGATCCCCATGATCTAGCCCAACCTGTTTATGTTACAGATAGGGAAACTGAGGCACAGAGGAAGAGAGCAACTTGCTCACAGTCACAGAGGCAGTCAGGGGCCAGAGCCCACTGACCCGGGACCAGGGAGTCAGGATGGGGGGGGGGGTACAGACGGAGGCAGATTGTTCTAATGAGGGAACTTAAAAGTACCTGGAAGCAAAGAGGTGGACACAGGGGTGGGCAGCCATTTGGGGAGCTCAAGGTCTCTCTGCCTTCTCTCCCTGGGGTGAGTTAGGGAATCTGGATTTGGGCCTGCCGGGATTCTCTGGGGCTCTTGATCTCATGTTATTTGTAAATCTCCTCCAAGATTCATGGAAAGGGCTATGAGATGCAAATGGGGGAATGGAAGAGGAGAAGGGAAGGAGAGAGAAGGAAGGAGAAGGGGTGAGGGAGAGGAGAGCACCACGCAAGTTGGCCCAGGGATTCAGAGGAATGGAAGGAGCTGCGATGGTCTCTCAGCTTTATTGGACCACCTATCCCCTTGAGTCTCCTCGGGGCCAAGTACTGGGGACAGGAGGGGAGGACCAGCCCTGAAGACCCTGGTATAGCAGCCCAGCTCCCTCACTTTCGGTAGCCCACACGCCCTCTGCCTCAGACTTAAACCTCTTACCTCTTTAATTCTCTGATTAGAGCTTTCCTGGGTCAGCAGCTGACGAGAGTGCCTGAAGCACCCCCTGCCCCAACCCCCTCCCATAACCCTGGCACCACCAGCTCTTCTGATCAAGATTCTAGGCCTGCGAAAAGGCCCTAGAGACCACCCCCTGAAGAGAGAGTGCTTCCCTAGCAACATGGAAGCAGATTTGTGTGACCCGGAGCACCTCCCTAACACTCCCCAGGCCTCAGTCTCCTCCTCTGTACAGAGACCCCGCTCTCTGGACTGGACCAAGGCTGGTGCAGGGCTGGAGTGAATGAAACAGGGCCATGGAGGAGGTATGTGAGGAAGGGGGGGATGGATGCCACCTGGCTCATTTGCAGTAGTCTCTTCTCCACAGGATGATCCCCAAGGAGCAGAAGGAAACTGTGATGAGTGCCATAGGGGACCTCTCTGGACCAGGTAAGGTGGGCCCAGCCTGTGGTTTCCTCAGACCCCATCCCCTCTGGGTCCCAGGCCTGGGCAAACAGGTGTGAGTTCCAGGCCAGTTCTGAGGGAGCATCCATGGAATCTGCCACCAGGGCTGGGAAGCTTGCTGAGGCTTCGGGAGGAGCCGTGTCCCTTAAGTCCACAGACCCAGGAGCTAGGGTTGAGTGACCCAGACTGAGCTCTGTCGCTGGTCCTGGCCCCAGTTGAGTCCTTATGTCAGTCCCAAACTGAGGTAAGTACTCAACTGAGAGTCCTGTGAAGGCTGTGGTCCCAGACCAAGCCCTAACTGTGGCCACAACTTCCCACACTTTACCCTTGTTTATTGTAAGTGTAAGGATCCCTGGGTGGTGCCAATGGTTTGTGCTCTGCTAGTAGCCTAATGGTTGGCAGTTTGAACCCACCTACCGACGCCATGGAAGAAAGGCCTGGTGATCTGCTTCCATAAAGATTACAGCCAAGGAAACTCTACCGTAACACGCGAGGTGGCCTTGAGTCGGAACTGACTTGAGAACAATGGTTTTGGGTGTTTTGATTTTACCATAACCGGCTTTCACCAAGGCATCTAGGATGGCTCAGGGCAGCCCAGTCTCAAGGCTAGAGATAAGGGGTAGTGGGGAGTGGGGCAGAGCAGGCAACCCAATTTGACTCAAACAATTTTACCTAAATGCCTACTCATCTAATGAATAAATCATCTAAAATTCATGTTTATCGATTTTACAAGATCTCTTCCGAAACTCTTGGTATAATTTTGGAGTCTGTTAATGTGGCCTACTTTTGAGAATTTTAAGTATTTTTAAAATTAATTCAACTAAGTCGGGGTTCTCAAACTTTAGTATGAATCATAGCGATGTGGCAATGCTGGTTAAAAATACAGCTTCCTGGCAACCACTCCCAGGGATTCTGATTCCGTGACCTGGAGTGGGGCCCATACATTTGCCTTTTAGACAAGTGCCCAGGTGATCCTGTTGCAGGTGGACAGAGAACCCAGCTCTGGTAAACACTTCTGCTGTGTTGATTCCTTCAGAGTGCTAAGAAGTATTTAATCCTGTGGTATAACTTGTCATCATTTTAACCTATTTTGTGTGTTCTTGCCTCCCTTTGTTCTTGTCAAGTTTCGTTGTGAGGTATTGACGCTCTAGATGGAAGGGTCGGGCTTCAAATTCTCTTTTCTAATGCATAATTAATTAATTACAGAAGCCAAAATAATTGACCAAAAAAAAAAAAAGCCCAAACCAGTTGCCATCAAATATTGGCACACATCATTTATGCTTGATTTGAAGTGTATCCATTGTTCATTATTGCTACAGTATTAATTAAAGATAATTTTGAAACTAAAGTAGAATGAAAAAAAAAAAACCCTCATGGTCTCACCACCAAAAGACAGCCATTATAAAGTAATAAAACAAAACACTATTTTTGTTATACGTACTGTGTCAGACACTGTGCTAAGAGCTTTTACATCTTATGTCATTTAATTCTCTCAAAAACCCTGTAAATTAAATATCGTTATTGCCATTTTGAAGTTGAGAAAACTGAGGCTCAGAGGGGCTAGATGGTCATACATCTGACAGGTGGTAGGGCTGAGATTTCACTTTAGCTCTCTTAATCTACAGAGCCACTTTTTTATTATATGTTTATAAAAATAATAATTCATTTTATTATGCATTTAGACAAGACACACATGAATGCCTGGAAAAAGATGGTTCCTCATAATGGAAGCACCTGGAGATAGCTACTGGGAACATATTTGTGTAAACCCTTCTTCTGGTTCATATATAAGCTTATTTATATAAACACATACACTGTATGTTGTGTTCTTCAGCTTGGTTTGTTTTTCCTTTAGCAGCATACCCCAAACTTCTTCGCGTCCTACTCATACCCATTGCTGTCAATTCCGACTCATAACGACCCTATATGATCCTAGTATGATTTATTTACCTCATTGCCTCCCCTCTCCCCACTCTCCCAGCATGCTAGTGTTTGGACAAATCATAATAAGTTTAATCAACTTGATGGTGGTCATGAAGGCTGGGACGCTTAGGATAGAGCCTGTGGATTCTTGTCAAGTGACTTGTTGAGGGGGTGCTCTCAGGAGCAGGGAAGTGAGGGAAGCAGGATGGGCAGAGGAAATTGTTTAAGCAAGGATGTGGTCCAGGTTCAGTCTGACCTCGTGGAAGGCTCTGGAGCATGAACTGCACCACAGAATTCATCCCACCTGAGGCAAGGGGGCCTCAGCAGCTTCCATCCCGCTAGGCAGTTCTCTGCAGAAGGTAACAGCCGAGAACTGTTAGCCTCTGGTAAAGGGCATCTGGATAGCAGCAGCCACTACAAGATAGATACTCAGTTTCCATAATTTTTAAACCCACTGCAATAAACATCCTTGTGTATATATATATATATATATCTTTGGGCATGTTTATTTAACTTTTTCCCCATGAATGAATCCTTAGAAATGCAATTGCGTCAAACATGTTTTATCTATTGTTTTTCTTTTCTTTCCTTCTTTTTTTTTTTTTTAAATATTGAGCTCAGTTCATCTGGATAGTATTTGAGAATATATGCAAATGGGCTTTTTATTCTGTATTTAGGTATAGTCTTTCACATTTCTAAGCAAAAAAAAAAAAAAAACCACAGTGAAAACAATCTCCAGTCCTCCTTCATATGTCCCATAAGTAACATGTTGCTGTGTAGTCAATTCTGACTCATGATGACCCCATGTGTTACACAGTAAAACTGTTCCATAGGGTTTTCTTGGCTGTAATCTTTATAGAAACAGATTGCCAGACCTTCCTTCTGCAGTGCTTTTGGGTGGGTTAAAACTGCCAACCTTTAGCTTAGTAGACAAGTACAAACTATTTCCACCACCCAGAGAATAAGTAGTCACTACTAATATTTGGTATGTCTCCTTGAAGATTTTTCAATGTATGCACAAATATATAGTTATTTTTTAAATATACGAATGGGATCTTAGAATACATATGCTTCTGGAACTTTTTTTCTTTTAAATTTAACCTACAGTGGATTTCCTTCTACTAGTAGCATGTAGAAGGCACTCGATACATATTTGTTGAAGAAATGAAGAAAACCAACCTCCTTTTCTAAAAGGCTATTTAGTATTCCATTGTATAGAATCAATCACAGTTTCTGAATGAGCCCTCAGCGCTGCCTGGTAACCACGTCCACTTCCCTCGTCCATTCACTCTCCCATACTACTCTCCTAGATGACTTTGTTAACCCTTCTCCTCTCTCCTCAAACCTCCAGTACCTCCTTCCCCATCTTCATTCTCAGCTAATAACCTTGCCTCTTACTGCACTGAGAAAAATGGAGCAACCGAAAGAGAACTTCTGCAAGCTCCCTTCGCCGCAACTGCCCCCGGGCTTGCACCTGTGCCCATGTCCTCAGTTGTCCTTCCTGGTAGGTGGGTGAGCCCTCCTTGCACCTGTCTGCAGCCCACCCTTCTGGCTGTGCCCTGGACGCCCTCCCCTCCCCTCCCTCCTGCTCAAGGACATTCCTTCAGCAAGCCTTCCCTCCCATCTGTATTGTCCAGTTCTCCCACCAGCTTATAAACATGCCGTTATTTTTCCCGTCTTAAAACAAAATGAAATGAAATCTTCCTGATTCCACAGCTGCCTCCAGCCGTGCTCCTTAGAGCCCAGGTCCTCCAAGCAGTTGTCTGTACTTTTTTTCTATATGCTCTGTCTTTTTTTTAACCTCTTGTTATGACAATTTCCAAACAAATACAAAAGCAGAAAGTACATGTCCCCAAGACCCTCCCTTTTATTCCTGGATCATTTCAAAGCAAATCCCAAAGATTATACAATTTCATCCTCCAAATATTTCAGAATGTATCAAAAATAATAAGACATCATGCTAAGTGAAATAATGCAGGCACAAAAGGGCAAATATTGTATGATCCCACTTACATGAAATATTTAGAATAGGCAAATGCAAAGTGACTAAAGTAGATTAGAGGTTACCAAGGGCTGGAGGGAGGGGAAACGGGGAGTTATTGCTTAGTGGATACAGAGTTTCTGTTTGGGATGATGCAAAAGTTTTGGAAATAGATAGCAGCAATGACTGCACAACACTGTGAATATAATTCATGCCATTGGATTGTACACTGAAAAATGGCTGACAAATTTTATTTTATATATATAACATGTTAATCCATTGCCGATGAGTTCATTCCATTGATTTGATTCCAACTCATGATGATCCTATGTGTGTCAGAGTAGAACTGTGCTCCATAGGGTTTTTAATGGCTTATTTTTTCTCAAGAAGGTCACCAGGCCTTTCTTCCAACGTGCCTCTGGGTGGACTCAAACCTCAAACTTTTCCGTTAGCTGCTGAGAGTGTTAACCATTTGCACCACCCAGGGACTCCATATATATTTTATCACAAACTTAAAATTTTTTTTGGAAAAAATAACTAGGACATTGCTTTACATGACCACAAAGGAAATTAGTACATTGAACAAAATTAACACTAATTATTTAATACTATCGAATAACCGATCCCATATTCAGCCTTCTCCAGTTTCTATACAATGTTGTTTTACAGTTAGTTTGTTTTAATCAGGATGCAAACATTGTCTTTATTTGGTTGTTACGTTTCTTAACTCTCCTTTAATCTAAAACAATCCCCTCAACCTTTTTTCCACATCATTGACTTATTTGAAGAAACTAGACCAGTTGCCCTGTAGAATGTTCCACGTGCTGGATTTGGCTCATTGTTTCATTATGGTGTGATTAAACTTGTTCTTCGGTCCATTTTCTCTTGAACCTATTCTAATTAGGCTTTCACACCCAAATGCTCCATAGAAACTGCTCCTGTGAAGATTACCAGTGGCTGAATGTTGCTAAATATAATCGTCAATTTCCAGTCATCATATTACTTGACATATCAGCAGCATTTGACTCCACTGACCACTCTATCTTCCCAGAAACACGTTCACCATTTGGTTTCCAGGACGCTCTTGATTTCTTCCTACCTTACTGGGTGCACCTTCCCAGGTTCCTGGGCTGGTTCCACTTGTCTCCTCCATCTAAACGTTGGCAGCTGCAGGACTCAGTCTTTGGATTTCTTCTCTATCTATTCTCATTCCCTTGGTGATCTCATCTAGACTCCCGGCTTAAAATACCATTTATAAAGTGATGACGCCCACATTTTTGTCTACAGGTCAATTTTCGCCCATAAACACCAGACTCATATATCCACCTTCCTCCTCAGCATCTCCACTTAGATGTCCACAGGCTCCTCAAACTTAATATGCCCGACTTTGGAGACAATTATGGGAATTTGAATATAGGCTAGGTATTGGACAAAAAGGAGCCCTGGTGGTGCAATGGTTAAGAGCTACAGCTGCTAACCAAAAGGTTGGCAGTTCGAATCCACCAGCCACTCCGTGGAAACCCCATGGGGCAGTTCTACTCTGTCCTATAGGGTCGCTATGAGTTGGAATCGACTTGACAGCAATGGGTTTGGTTTTTGGTTTTTAGATAAAACAAAAGTTTGTTCATTTGCAAAGGTGGAGATCATTAATTCAGAAAAGCAAGTTACAAAACATGTATGCTATGACTTCCTTTTTCGTTAAAAACTCATATATGAATAGATCCTCCTCCCCCCAAAAAAAAACCATTGCTGTTGAGTCAGTTCCAACTCATAGTGACCCTATAGGACAGAGTAGAACTGTCCCATAGGGCTTCCAAGAAACTGCTGGTGGATTCGAACTGCTGACCTTTGGTTAGCAGCCAAACGCTTAACCACTGCGCCATGGTTTTATATGAATATACAGTCATTGAAAAAGACATGAAAGTATATATAATAAGGCGTGAAGAGTGGCAATCTCTGGGTAGTGAATAATGTATTTTCTAACTTTCTTCAATATACACATATGCTTTTTTATGATAATAAAAGGCTATTTTAAAATGAAAAGAACACATGTCTAAAACAGCTCCAGATCTTTCTCCTTTTACCCCCTAGCCTTCCCCATCTCAGTGGGTAGCTGCACTATCCTGTCGGTGGCTCAGGCGAGAAACCTTGCAGTCATCCACAACTCCTCTCTCTCTCATATCCCATACCAGTGGCTTACTTTAAAAGGTATCTAGAACCTGATCATTTCTCACTACCTCCACTACGGTGGGCAAAGAGCCGCACAGGAAATTCATGGAATAAATACAAATGGCCACTGAACTTCTGAAACAGTGCCCAGCCTCACTGAGCATCAAACACATGCAAATCTCTTCAACTCTGAGGTGCCTTTTCTGCTTAGCAAGTGGGCAAAGATTCCAAAGAATGATGGCATCCAGTGTTGGCAAATGTGGGGAGAAACAGGCGTTTTCACACACACTGTGCAGTGCTGTGATGCAGTGCCTTAGAGGCTGTGGCCTGGAGTGCCTCCTGGACTGGGTATTAAGAGCCCACTCTGCCCTCTCCTGGTAGTCCCTTCCTTGGACCTGGGCAAGAAGCTGAGCGTGCCCCAGGACCTGATGATAGAGGAGCTGTCACTGCGCAACAACCGGGGCTCCCTCCTCTTCCAGAAGAGGCAGCGCCGCGTGCAGAGGTTCACCTTTGAGCGTACAGACAGCCAGCGGGCGGTGAGTGGCCCCTCCTTGTGCTCAAGGGGAAACTGATGCCCAGAGAGGGCCAATAGCTAGCCTGAAGCCGCACAGTGAGCCAAGCTGAGGACCTCTGGCCCCTGGCGAATCCGTCAAGCTCCGGCTGTGACTTTCTTATCAGATTGAGCCCCAGCCTTGCTGTGTGATCCTAGAAGTGTTTTATTTCTGTAAGCATCTTTGCCAGATATCAAATATAAAGTGGATTGGGTGGGTGAGCTGTGGGCGAAGGGGCTCCGACCTCTGCAAAAAATGCTGAAGCATGGTCACAGGCTCTGGGCTGAATCTGCAGCAAGCAGGATTTAGGTGTGACTTGAGATCAGTCTAAGATGGAAAACACAGAGTGCTTTTTTCTTTTCTTCCCACTGGAAGAAGGAAAAAGCCACAGGACAGTCTGCTGGCAGAGAAAGAAGGCAAGAATGGTTTATTCCCAGGCCTCAAAAAGGCAACAGGCAGTCTCAGGTCTTCTTACAAAGCTGAGGGTATTCCACGTACCTACTCCACTCAATTTCTGGGCTGAGGAAGTTGATGTGGCAGAATAAGAAAGATAACAAAACACCTATGCGTCTAACACTGCCAGCTAAGCGCTTTCCATGTATCATCTCATTTAATGCTGTAGGACCCTATGAAGCAGATATTGTCATCGTCCCCATTTTATAGAGAAGGAACTGAGGCTTTCTTGCCCAGGGACAATATTACAGTAACAACTCGGAGACTTTCTCTGTCCCAGGTGCTGGGTTTAGCTAGCTACACTATTAACTCACCCTCCCCAAACCCCCAGAAGGTGGGCGCTAGGATTGTGTTCATATTTTTTTGTTGGGGACTCTGGCCCTTTGCTACGCTAGCCACCCTGTGGTTTATTTGCCCCCCACAGATCGTGGCCGGAAGCGCCACGGGGAAGGTGACCAGAACCGCGGAGCCAGGGACGGTGAGCGCAGAGGTAGGCGCCACCGGAGGGGGAGTTGGGGGTAGGGGCCAGGGTAGCTCGGATGGGGTCGCCCGCAGCCTCTGAGCTCCCACCTCTGTGCCCAGGCTGTCAACGGCCCCGAGAGGCAGGAGAACTACCGCTCGGAGCTCCATATCTTCCCGGCTGCGTCTGCGGGCCCCCAGGACGCCCGCCCCGCAACCGCCCCTGCGGAGCGCGCCCACTCCCCCAGCGCCCTGGCTCCCGGTGAGTGGCCTCCCCGGGTCCTGGGACCAGGGCTAGGGGCCAGGACCATGGGTATCCTCGACTACGACGGGACAGGAAGAGCGCCCAGAGAGCGTCTTGTCCCCCTTCTTGTCCGGCGCAGTGACGCGCCCAAAGTCACACAGTGCGTCACAGTCCGAGCCAAGACTAGAACCCGCGCCCCAGACTTCTGGCTCCTCTGCCCCAGTTCTCCAGTTTCCTGGGATGGGAAAGGGTCCCCTTTGCTGGGCAACGTTGGCTTCACGTCTCCCACTCACCTCTTTCCTAGTTCCGATCTTTCGTACTCTAGCCAGGTCCGCGGGGTGGAGCAGGAGTGGGGACTGAGGGAGAAAGGAGCGGGGCACCCCCTCCCGCCAGCCTCCGACGCGCCCTGCTCCACCTGCAGGCTACCAAGCGCCCCTGAAGGGCGTCCCGCCTGAGAAGTTCAACCACACAGCCATCCCTAAGGGTTACCGCTGCCCGTGGCAGGAGTTCATCAGCTACCGGGATTACCAGAGCGACGGCGGAAATTACACCACCAGCCCCGCGGAGTACCGCAATTTCAACAAGTAAGATGGGGCAGGCTCTCGGGTGCCCAGGAAGCCAATCCCAATCACAGCAGTAGCCTGCATTTACCGCGCACTTTCTACATGCCAGGTTCTATCCTAGACACTTTATGTACATTTGTTCAGCTCTTGCTAGGACAGTGCCTCAGCACATCGTAGGTGCTCAATAAATGTACTTGGACTGAGTGGACGAACGTGCCACACGTCTTGTTGGATCCTTGCCACATGAGGGTAGGGCGGGTTCTGCAATTTTTGCTGTTCTGCGGATGAAGAGACGGAGGCTCCGAAATATCAAACAACCTGCCCAAAGGCACAAAGCAGAGAAGCAGCAGCAGGGCTGGGATTCAAGTCTGGGTTTGTCTGACTCCAGGGCCCAGTTTCTTGTCCCTCATAACTGCTGTGTGCCACCTCTCTGATGGACGTCAGGTACACGTTCTTCCCTGGGTAGGGGCCCCAAATCTCATCAGTGATAGGCCAGCGCAGCCATCGCCTCACTTTCATCAATGGTTAAGAACAGGCCTGTTGTTGGATGCTGTCGAATCAATTCCAACTCATAGTGACCCTATATGACAGAGTAGAACTGCCACATAGGGTTCCCTAGGCTGTAATTTTAATGGGAGCAGATCGCCAGGATGTTTCTTTTGCGGAGCCACTGGTGGGTTCGAACCGCTGACCATTCGTTAGCAGCCAAGCACTTAACCATTGTGCCAAGAGGGCTTCTTTGGAAGAGGCCTAAAAGGGTGGCTTTGGGGATGCCCCCAAAGTGGGTCCTGACAGTGAAATGCTGGCCACCAGAGGTGAGAGCACAGGGGGTGGCTCATACTGGTTTGGAGCATGGACCCTCAATGTGGGCTCAAATGCAGACTCTACGCCTGGCTGTGTGACCTTGGCCAAGTGACTTAGCCTCTCTAAGCCTCCATTTCCCCACCAGTAAAATGAGGCTATTATAGTACCTATTTTATGGGATTGTTATGAGGATGATATGAGAAGCCACAGGCAAAGTTTCTGGCAAGTGATAAACTCTCAATAAACAATAGCTATTATTATTATTGGAGTCCCAGGGTGGTGCAAATGGTTAATCCCTCGACTATTAGACGAAAGGTTGGCAGTTTGAACCTATTCAGAGGCACCTAGGAAGACAGGTCTGGTGATCTGCTTTGAAAGCCCTGTGGAGTACAGTTCTACTCTGAAATACACGGGGTCGCCAATAGTCAGAACTGATTCAATGGCAACTGGTAAAATTATTATTTGCAGGCTGAAATCATGGAAAATCTAACAAGGTAGAATTTGAAAGCGGTAACCTTAACATTCTGTTCTGGGGGACATAAAACAAGCCATAGCAGTGAAGAGAGGGACTTGGCACTGAAGAAAGGCCTTGAGGTGGAGGATACATTTCAACTGCAATTGGCTTCCTTGGTCTGATGCTATTTCTGGAAATGTTCCTCTGGCTTGGGCTGCATTAAGTGAGGAGGAGGAGGGTCCACAGAGAGAAGGCCCCAGTCCAGCTCTTCTGGCACCTGCTCAGACCACACATGGAGACCATGTCTGACAGACAGACAGCTGAGCACCAGGAGCTGGTGAGGTCTGGAGACCAGGCCACATGAGAAAGGGCTGAAGAAACTGGGAGTGGTCAGCCTTTAGAAGGAATGGCTCAGTAAGGATGTGACTGCTCTCAAATAGCCGAATGGCCAGGGAGTGCCTTACAGGAAGAATTGGACCAACAGGCGCTGTGCGAGCCACGAGCCATGGCAGACCTTCTGGAGTTTCCAGCCAGGCAGGACTGACTTCTCACTTCTCCTGGGCCCCTCAGACCCCTCCTGCCCAGCTATTTAAACCCTCAGCAGACATTCAATCCTGGCAGATAGCTTCCAGGCCGGCCAGCTCAGGTCCCAGCCCCGATCCAGCTCAAGCCTCAGGTATGACAGGCTGAGGAACATTCTTACTAGTAGAAGGAGGGCCTTAGGGAGGCTGGAGTCCAGCCCCCTCTTGGGACAGAAGGGGCAACTAGGCGTAGCGAGGAAGAATGGCAGTGTTGTTGGTCAAGCTCGGCTCAGACTCCAGTGTTCTGGGCTCCCAGTCAAGGGCTGAACTTGAGGCCTGCTCAGCTTGGAAACTGCCCAGCCTGCTCTGGTGGGGGCCTGGCTGTTGCCTCCAAAGCTGGGGTGGTTCAGGCAGAAAACTTGCTGGCTGGACCCCAGGCCCTGGCCCGAGGTTTGCCTTTCTGTCCCAGGGGGGAGCACTTTCCTCTTCTCACTGGTCTCAGACTATGGGGCAAACACTGCATGTGGGGCTACTTTTTATTTTTCTTAAAATTAAAAAAAAAAAAAGTTTAGATCACCTAAGAGTATTCTCTTTAAAAAAAAATTAGATAATTACAGATAAAGCTAGGGCCCCTTTGCCCGTTGTCCTCCACCCCCAGTTCTCTTCCCAATGGTCACACTGTTGTCAGGTTGGTGTGTTTGTCTCCAGAACTTTTTGTATGGACAGCTACCTACCTGGAGAGGACATGGCTTTGTTTGCACGTATGTGTGTGTGTTTTAATACTTTGCATTTCATTCTGTGAGTTGCTTTTTTCACTCAACATTATGTTATTGAAATCTACCCTATTTAATACGCCTGGATCTAGTTCATGCCTTTTAAACTGCTGTATAGTATTCTGCCCTGTGAATACCCTGCACTTGTCTTATCCACTCTTCTGCTGATAGACATTCAGGTTATTTCTAGTCCTTCACTAGTACAGGGCTCACACCTGCCTCCTTGTGCATACGTGCGTGTGCTTTCCTGGAGGGGACAGGGTTTACACGTTTTCAGGTTAAAAAGATCCTGCTAAGGTTGTTGTTATCAGCTACCATTGAGTCAGCCCCCCAACTCATGGCGACCCCATGCACAATGAAATCAGACCGTTTTTATCCATAAAGTTTTCATTGGCTACTTTTTGGAAGTAGATCGTCAGGGCTTTCTTCCTATTCATCTTAGTCTAGTTGCTCCGCTGAAACCTGTTCAGCATCATAGCAACACACAGGCCTCCACGGACAGACCGGTGGTGGCTGTGCTTCCGGTGCACTGGCCAGGAATCCAACTCAGGTCTCCTGCATGGAAGGTGAGAATTCCACCACCGAACCACTCCTGCCCCCATCCTCTAAGGTAGCGGCACTAATTTACCCTCCAACTAGGAGCATATAAGTGAAACTTTGTTCCCACTATCTCACCAACTTTGCCCTATTCTCAGATTATTTCATTTTGCCAGTCTCCTGGGTGAGCAATGGCAAGTCTCTGCTGTCATTGTCATTTCCCTGATTCTCATTGCTCTTTCCACTTCTGCCTCCTGTCTCCCATCTGAGGGTGTATTGTTCTAAGGGGAGGTGATAAGAGGAAGGAAAAACTCTACTTCCAACTCTGCTCCTTCTGGGGCTTCCTTCAGGGGAGCCTAGAGTTTAGCCTAGCACAAGTTAGTTCTGACTTGGAAACTGCTATTCCTAAGAAATAAGCCACCTCCTCTAGGGGTAGTCTCAGGGAAGGGCAGAGTGGGAGAAACCTGTCAAAAGTAGTACGAAAACGTGCTGTATAGAAGCAGAAACTGAGGACCAGAGAGATGCAGGGAGGGGGCCCCACGTAGCGACCCACCTGTGGCTGCTCTGCCTTCCCTTCCTCACACAGCTCACCCCGCCTCCCACTCTTCTTTCCCCAGGACCCCAGTGCCATTTGGAGGACCCCTTATTGGGGACACTGTTCCGAGGGAAGTCACGCCCTTTGTCCCGGGGCTCAACAGTGGCTTGGAACTCCTCCGCCGCAGACCCAGCTTCAACAGAGTGGCCCAGGGCTGGGTCCGCCACCTCCCGGAGTCCGAGGAGCTGTAGCCCCTGCCTGAATCTTCAATTCCCCAATCTTGGGGTTTGGCTAACACCTGGAGCCCAGACTTGTGGACAGCACTTTACAATTTACACAGGGCCTTCACACACAAAGCCTCATTGCAAATGGCCTCAAAGGTCACAAAGTTCAGTGGGCTCCCGAAGCGGCTATGCTTCCAAGTCCCCTTGGGATGTTGTTTCAAATGCAGATTTCTGGCCTGCCCCAGACTGGCAGTCTCAGAAGCTCCTGGTTAGGGCTTCTGTCTTAGTAAGGAACTCTCCCACCTGATTCCAGTGTAACTTGTCCATAATTTGTGCCTTTAGTAGTCGAAACCACTGATGGAATCCACCTCTATGCCCCTATTCCTCCCCACCCCAGTGCTCCAGCTTACACTCCTTCAGTGACAGGGAGCTAACTAGCAGCTGTCTTTGCTGTTTGTTGTGTGCCGTTGAGTGGATTCCAACTCATAGTGACCCTATATGACAAAGTAGAACTGCCCCATGGGGTGTCCTACTCTATAATCTTTACTGGAGCAGATCACCAAGTCTTTTCTCTTTCGGAGTGGCTGGATGGGTTCAAACAGCCAACCTTTTCATTAGCAGCCAAGTACTTAACCATTGCACCGCCAGACTTCCTTGAATAACTCTGACAATTAGAATGTTTTTCCGTTCACTGAGATGCAGTCAGTCTCCACCCATCTATTCATGCTCTAAACATTTGCTCATCGCCTGCAGTGTGCTAGACACTGTGCTGGACCTGGGGAGAGTGTGTGGTGAATAAGCCCCAGTCCCTGACCTAGAGGAGGAAAAGACATTTGGGTAGACTTGTTTGTAAAGCAGTAATCACCCTAAAGTTCTCTAAAACCAAAAAAGCCAAACCCATTGCCACCGAGTCGATCCTGACTTAAGCAACCCTATAGGACAGGGTAAAACTGTCCCATAGAATTTCCAGGGCTGTAATCTTTATGGAAGCCGACTGCCACATCTTTCTTCTGCAGAGCTGCTGGTGTGTTTGAACCCCTGATCTCCCAGTTAGCAGCTGAGAAATTAACCACCGCGCCACCAGGGCTCCTTCAACAAATCAAACTTGCAGAGGATGGTATGCTAATTGGCAACCAATGAACAAACTGTTGTGAGGTAGAGGAGGGGGTCCCTAACCCTGGGTGAGGGCTGGGATGTGGGGAAGCTTCCCAGAGGATTTGAGCAGGGCATGGAGGAAGAGGTACAAGTCCACCAAGGGAAGCGGAGTGATGGGAGGGCATTCCTGGCGGGTGGAGCAGCCCATGCACAGAAGTGGAGTTGTGCATTGGTGCTGCGTGTTCTGGAGAAGGGAGAGGACTGTGTGAGAGGAGGCAGCGAGGGACAGAGTGGCAGGGGGAGCGTTACCGAGGGAATGGGGAGGTTTTTAAGCTAGGTGGTGAGTCAGGTTTACATTTTTGAAGGATCTTGCTGGTTGCTGTGTGGGGAACAGATTGAAGAGGAGTAATGCTGGAAGCCAGGAAGTCTGCAAGGAATGGGGCCAGGACTAGGGGGGTGTCCATTTGGATGGGGAGAAGGGCCCAACACCCCACCGGGGCATCTTATACGACAGGTGCGAAGTGGGGCACTTACAGGGCTCCTTCTTTCCACCTCCCATTCTGAGCAGGCCCCGGGGGTTGATCTAGTGCTAGTTCCCCATCCCCCACCCCTGCCAATACCACCACCCCAGAAGTAGTTTGGGGCTTTACTCCAGCTGTTTAGGGAAAGGAGAGAAATGAATGCTTCTCAGTTCAAGTGGTGATGATGATGATGATGATGATGATGATGATGATGATGGCTGCCTTTTATCAAGTGCCTCAGTGCTTGGGCTAGTAGTAAGTTCTCTACATATCCAATTTCTAATTCTCAGCACAACCCTGAGAGAAAAGTAGTGTCATGCTCATTTTACAGATACGGATACCAAGGCTCAAAAGGGGAAGTGACTTGTCCAGAGGCAGAGACAAATGGGAACCTGTCTGATTCCAGTGAATGTCTCTTTTTACTGCACCGGGTGGCTGAACCAATGCCCACTCACTCTGGAATCACTTAGTCACGATGCCCTGCCTTGGAGCTTACAAGTGCAGTCTCAGGACTCAGACCAGATGGGATGGGTTCTGATTCTGCCACTGCTAGCCCTGTAATCTTGAGCAAGCCGCTTCCTACACGTGTAAGATAAGGACAAGAATAGAAGTTCCTTATAAGGCTGTTGTAAGCACAGTGCAGGATACATACGTAAAAGGGCCTAATCAATGTTAGGTCTTGTGCAACTACTGCTCTTGACTGGAAAAGATGTTCTTGTGGTGGATGCAGCCTGAGAATCAGGCTGCTAGGATGTCGTTGGGGGTCAGTAAAGCTGAAGCCTGAGGAAGGACTCAGACTACTGTAGGGCTCCCTTTGGACAGGAATGACCTCCTTCCCTGCGGCCTCTCTCTGCCTTCTGCCTGCCTCCCTCCCTCTCATGGGGAGGAGAGGAGGTCAGGAGTCTAGCTGGTTGCTGGGGTGAACAGGAGAGTGGTTGCTTTTTCCTTTTGCTCTTGAGTTCCACTGTTTAGAACTGATTGCAATCGATGTGTTCTCTTGAATTTGAGGACTTCTGTTTAAAGCCATAACTCCTTGAGCTGGAGGCCACCCACTAAAGTGTCGGAAACCTAGAAGAGAAGACTCTGCCTTGGGCTTGCTCTGTCTGCTCTGAAGGGTAATAGCTGCCACATGGCACAAAGGGGAGAGCCTGGAGGGGAGCATGCTGCATCTTAAAGCAAGTCTTCTTTCCTTTCTTCTTCTGATCACGTAACTTTTGCTGGTGCTGTAAAAAAGAAAAGAATGAGCACTGTAAAAATTTTTTAAAAATAATAAAAGAGGAAGTAGAATATAACAGTATCTGCACACATAGCTCCCCCCAGGTATGTATACAGATCTTCCCACACTCCTGCATTCTGCCCCATTCCCATAAACTGGTAACAGTCTAGTCCTTCTAGAATTATTTGAAGGCTTTTCCTCTTACAGAGATTCATTCAGCCCCCATCTATCTATTCATGCTCTAAACTTTTGCTCATCACCTAGAATGTGCTACAGCAGATGGGGTGTGTTAATGAAAGCTTACTTGAGCTTATTAACCATTTGTGTTCATGGCAACTTATTTGAGGCCCGTTAGCCCTTTGAATATACGTAGGAAATGTGGTGGGCCTGGGAGAGTGTGTGGTAAATAAGCCCCAGCCTTGACCTAGAGAAGGAAAAGACATTTGGGAAGACATATTTGCAAAGCAATAAATCACCCTAAAATTGCCTAAAGCATGCTATTTGGCAACTGAGGAACAAAGTGCTGTGAGGTGGGGGG